TGCCTGCCCCGAGGGGACCCACATCGACTTGAGGAATGGTACGTCTTGGCAGAGGAAGCAGAGATCGACATATTGAAGAGGCACCGCCGAAGAAAACAATGGAGCCGCCCCCCGCCTGAGCTGACACACCAACCGGTGAAATCATCAGATACAGCCAAGAAGCAAATGGGGTGTTTCAAGTGCGGAAGAGAAGGGCATCGAGCTGTAGAATGCCGCTCAAAGGCCCCCCAGCACAACCCAGACAGATCCCCAATCAACAAACCCGGAAAGTATTCAGCTAAGCCAAAAGAAACGGCCATGAGAATGATGGAAATTGCAGAAACCCCCACCTCTGCTCACCAAGGGGAAAGAACTCCAGCCTACACCACAGGGCCGGTGGATGCCTCAGATGACAGCTCGGAGGGCGAACCCCTGGTAAGTGGATGCATCACACCCATCTTCAAAACAGTGACTATATTAATCCCCCCCATGCCCGAAGCTGTGAAGGTGAAAGCCTTAATAGACTCTGGCTGCACCCGCTGCCTCATTAGCCCAACACTAGTGGGGAATCTGGGCATCCCATCCAGGAGACTGGAACAACCAATCTCATTTGGCCAGTTAGATGGATCCATAGCAGGGGGGATGCCAGCTACCCTAGCCACTCTACCAATACACCTCTCCCTGGGCAAACATGAAGAGGACATAACGTTTGTGGTGACCCCAGGTATGGAATGCCCAATGATTCTAGGGATGGAATGGTTGAAAAAATGGAACCCCTGGGTAAATTGGAGGACGACAGAAATCAAATTCCCGAAGGGGGACCCTATGGACTTAAAACCCCAAGAGAGGCTACCAGAATCAAGAATAGAAAAAGCATCCATAGGAGAGGAAAAAAGATTAACAGAAATACCAGAGGAATATAGGGACCTTGCTGAAGTCTTCAGTGAGGAGAGGGCGAATGAGCTTCCCCCCCACCGACCCACAGACTGTACCATTGAATTCAAGCCTGGGGCAAAACTCCCGAAGCCCAGATTATACTCCATGAGCCCAAAGGAGAAGGAGGAAATGGAAAGATTTATTAAAAAAAACCTAGAGAGAGGTTTCATTGAGTCAGCCAAGCCTAAAGTGGCTGCCCTGGTCCTTTTTAGAGAGAAGAAGGATGGCTCCTTACGTTTATGCATGGATTATAGGGCCCTGAATACAATCAGTGAAAACAACCTATACCCTCTGCCCCTCATGAAAGACATGCTGTCACACCTATCGAAAGGGAAAATTTTTTTCTAAACTAGACCTAAGGGAAGCTTACTATCGCGTGAGAATTAAGGAAGGGGACGAATGGAAGACTGCATTTAACTGCCCCATGGGATGCTATCAATTCAAAGTCTTGCCATTTGGATTACAAGGGGGCCCTGCAGTCTTTATGCAATTAATCAATGATGTTCTAAGGGAGCACCTGTTTAAGGGGGTCCTTGTGTACTTGGACGACATTCTTATCTTTACTGAAACAAAAGAGGAACACGTCAACCTTGTCAGGGCGGTTTTAAAGAAGCTGCGAGCCGCCCACCTATATGCCAAACTCTCAAAATGCGAATTCCACCAGGAAAGGATAGACTACCTAGGCTATCGCATATCCCCACAGGGCATTGAAATGTACCCAGAGAAGGTCAAAGCAGTATTAGATTGGGCGCCACCCCGCACAAGAAAGCAACTACAGTTTCCTGGGCTTTGCAAACTTTTACCGCCAATTCATCCCCTCATTTGCCCAGATAGCCTTGCCCCTCACTAACTTACTAAAAACGAAGGGAGCATCCTCAGTAAAAACTAGCCAGCCACTAACATGGACAATGGAGTGCCAAGCAGCGTTTGAGAGACTAGAAAGACTTTTTTCTGCCGAACCAGTACTAAGGCACCCAGACATGGACAAACCCTTTGTAATACAGGCAGATGCAAGTGATGTGGCAGTGGGGGCTGTGCTATTACAAGAAAATAATGATGCAGTATTTCAACCCTGTGCATATACATCCAAGAAACTCACGGAAACAGAACAGTGCTGGCCTGTATGGGAGAAGGAGGCTTATGGGATACGTTGGGCATTACTCACGTGGCGACAGTTCCTGGAAGGCAACAAAATCCCCTTCCAGGTGTGGACTGATCACAAAAATTTAGAAGCCCTGAAAACTTCCAGGAAACTCAATCCCAAACAAGCCCGCTGGTCCCAGCATTTTCACCAATTCCAATTTAAGCTCAAACATTTACCAGGAAGAAAGAACTTCCTGGCAGATGCACTATCTCGCATGCCCCAATATAACAGCGCACGAACCACAGACTCTAGACCAATAATGGCAGAGTCACAACTGGCAGCACCAGTAACCACAAGAACCCAAGCCAAAATAAAACCACAACTGGACAGCCAAACTGGGATTGAATTCAGAAAAAGTTTGGAAACAGATGAATGGTTCCAGAAAAACAAAAATGTGTGCACAATGAGAGACGGGTTGCCTTGGGTAGGGGAAAAGTTATATATACCAACAACTCAAAGAGTAACTTTCATGCACCTTTGCCATGACACAAAATCAGCAGGGCATTTTGGATTTGTAAAAACTTTACATTTAATTAAACGGCAATTTTGGTGGCCATCCATGAAAAAGGACATTGAAAGTTATATAGCCAGTTGTCCAAAATGTGCCACGGCAAAGAGGTTGCAAGGGAAAGTGCCAGGACTATTGCAAACAGTGGCAAGTCCCTCAGCCCCCTGGAGAGAAATAGCCATGGATTTTATAGTGGAATTGCCAGAAAGCAATGGGAATACTGTGGTCTGGACGGTCACGGACTTGTTTTCCAAACAGGTGCACTTTATCCCTTGCCAAAAGATTCCCACTGCAAAAGCCTTAGCAAAACTTTTCATCCAACACATTTACAGATTGCATGGGGCACCCCAACGCATCATCTCTGACAGGGGGGTGCAATTTACGTCTGCATTTTGGAAGGAATTTTTATCCCTCTTAGGAACCACTTAGGGACTGACATCTAGCTACCACCCTCAAGGAAATGGATCGGCTGAAAAAATGAAATCCGTACTTAAGCAATATTTAAGATGTTTTCTTAGTTTCCAGCAGACCGAGTGGGCGGACTTACTCCCGTTTGCAGAAGTTGCCTACAATAATGCAGTCCACTCCAGCACAGGTTACACTCCTTTTCAAATAGCCAATGGTCAAAGTTTCAACCCCATGCCAGAATTAACCCCAAACGAACCAACGATCCCTTCGCTGAAAGAATGGATGGAGAAACTACAAAACACCTGGCCAATAGTCAGAAAAGCAGTAGATGAAGCTAGGCAGGCATACAAAACACAAGCCGATAAAAAAAGGGTTGAGCCTACACCATTCATTATAGGAGAAATGGTGTACTTATCTACAAAATACCTAAAGTCCCTACAGCCCTGTAAAAAACTTGGATCAAAATATATAGGACCTTTTCCAATTAAAAGAATCATAAATCCAGTAACAGTAGAATTAGAATTACCCAAAAATCTCAGGCAAATACACCCAATTTTTCATTGCAGCTTGCTGAAAAGAGAGCATCAGTCACCTCTACGGCCAAAAATCCCCCCACCACCACCTCCACTCATGGTGGAGGGTGAACAACACTTCGAAATAAAGGAAATCCTTGATTCTAGGAGATATCATGGAGCAACTCAGTACCTAGTTGCCTGGAAACACCTCCCTCCCTCACAAAACGAGTGGGTCCATAAACGTCATGTCAGAGCCTCGAAGCTATTGAAGAAGTTTCACACAGAGTATCCTAACAAGCCTGACTAAATTTTATACTTGTGTTTTCTTTCAGGTGGATCTCTCTTATTTTTAAGAGGGGCCGGATGTCAGAATCCAATTATATTTCATCTTTAATTATCAAATATAGAAAATACCATTTCTGCCTTTTCTGGATTCTGTCATACGATGGAGAGAAGGGGGTGAACAAAGGGGCTTTATGGCCCTCACTTCCTTCGGTACACTTCAAAGGAACTGGATGTGTATATCACCAAAAGGACTAACCATAACAATGGGGCTATTACCTTCCTGTAATTCTCTCTGAAGTCTCCATCCAGCCGGCAGTAAGGAAAAGGGGGTGGGAGTTCCCAGGCCCAAATATGTAACCTTACCAATTCCTTAATGTTCTTTGTATAAAATAAAGATGTTTCAGCATAGTACAATTCTGTCTTGTTCATTAATGGCTCAAGGAGCCAAATGCAAAGAAAACGTGGTTATGGAGCTGGGCTAGAAAATTCCCCGGAACTTGAGCCATTCCCATTTTTAGCCAAGACAGAATCTGGGAAGAGATCCCTGGGTGAGTTATGGATGGTGTGCCTGCCCTCTTCCTTGCTGCTGCTGCATCGTAGGCTCCCGCCCCCTCCCTTAGGAGTTGAGGGTCTTTCTTTCCTAAATGTCTAAGCCAGGGTAGGTCTGACACTAGCTGTCATTGTGCATTAGAATACAATTATGTATTCTAATGTGGCTTTAGATTAAGCCACACTGGAAAATGGGAACGCCAACTTGGCGCTGCAATACACTGAGCAGTTTGTCTAGCCAAAAAAGGCACACTGGACTAAACATGGAAACTCAAAATCTGTTGGAAGCCCACTGGACAATACTGCCTTATGGGACAGCCTGCTGTTAACTTTTTGAGAGGAGCTCTGATTTTCAACCAGAGCCAATCTTGCTTTAGCTTTCTTCTTTCCTACCAGAAAACAGCTGACCAGTTAATAGGTTGTGCAGGTTGCTCCTTAACTACAGGGAATAACACCTGAAACATAACACCTTACAAACTTCCTGGGAACAGATTGCTGCCAACCACTGAAAAAATACAAGCAAAACAGTCACAATTCCTGAAGATCCTCAAAACTTCCTTAACTGTATAACCTTTGATCTCAAGGATATTGTTTATATTCAAGATGCATTTTTAGACCATTAGCATTTCTTCCAATGAAGGAACCTGCACAAGGAATAAATACAGCGGGTGGTAGATTGGTTTAAAATTTAAGGATTACTTTATTAATGATGTACAGGATCTTTTAGGTGGTTGCCACAGCAGCCGCCTGAGTTGTTTGCACAGACACTCTGGTGGTGTGGGTCTTTGCCAGATGATCAGTGAACTCCTGTAGGAAAGGGGAAAAGATGCATCAGATTTTTTTTGCATAAAATACAGCCTATCTCACAGGGTTAGTAGGATAAAATGAGAGGAGCCTCCGAGTCTGTCTCTTTGAGCTTCACCAAGGAAAGGCACAATCTGTGAGAGGGGGCGGAAGGGGAGTATTCTCTAATCCCCATGCCACATTTTCCTTACCTGATAAGGAGATTTAGTGAAAACAGTTTCTTTCCAGAGATCAGGGGTCAGATAACTGTAGGTCTTGGAGATAGCATCAAAAGTGGCTTTAGCTGAAATAAAAATAGAAGCCTCAGTACCCACCGTATTTTTAATAAGGCACACTCATATATTCAAACCTGTCGAGTTTGATAAGGAACAGAGAGACCACTGCAACCCTGCAAATTTGAACTCATTTGCTTTCCCTCTCGAAAACGACAGCTGCACCACTGGAATCAGGCGCAACTGAGCAGAGCTGAGAGTGTTCTGAAATTGAGCATTTCCAAATAACAAAAACACCAGCGCATAAGGATGCTGGGTTGGGATTTTGCCAATTTAACAAGTCCATAGAGCAGCCACTTAAACTCAGTAGTTCAAGTAACAGATGCCAGCACTAAATGTCCCCTTAGTCAGCTATAGATTAGATCAGTGGCTCTTAGCCTTTTTGAACGAATCGCCCCCTTGAGCCAGTGAGGAAGAAGTCATCGCCCCCCTCCCCCAACATAACCTCTGAATCACAACATAGGAAATAATTATTCAATTTATGCAAACACTTTTTTGGTTTTCTTTAAAATTGTCATCAGGACATATCGATGCAAATAATTTATTTCCAGTCTTTTTCCCATATCTCAACTGTGTGAAAAATTTTGGTGCCACCTGTCACTTTATTCCCAAACTTCGTGATACATGTATTTCATTATTGTCTTATTTATTCAAGACACTTAAATGTAATGACCACTGAAAACAAAAATCAATTGCAAGAAAGTGAAATGCCTGAAAAGAAAAACAATAACATTTAGTGATTGAATTACAAGTGAAATTAAAGAAGCAAAAAGAAATATAAAAAGGGCATAAGAATAAATCACAATGCAGGAAGTAAGAATTTCAAGACGAAAACTCTGAAACTAAATTAAGATTAGAGGAAAGTGTATATAGTCACACACACTGTAAAAAGGATTAAAAAGACACAAAGAAAATATAATATCGAACTGGAGTGCACGCTAAAAAAGTACAATACAAAGAGACACAAAAAATGTTTTACAGAGCACAACAAAAATTCAAAAAAGCCGAAAACTCAAACTGGAACATGAAATCCAATTCAAGCAAATACAATGATAAAAACTCAGACAATTATTAACAAAAAAAATGTATGTACACAAAAAGCAAAAAAAGGACATCAACTTTGAATTGATAGCACCCCATTGGGCAATTAAACGCGGTTTTCCATTCATCCCCTTCCTTAATAGACCATCACTGAACCCTTCCATTTTCTAATCTTCCCATTATGAAAAAAAGGTTGGATGGCAGCTACAGATCATCTCGGAGGAAGCAAATTATCTGGATCAGCTTTAGATCAGGGTGTATTGTGGAGCAGAATTGGTTGAATGTGACCTTTGGTGGAACCAAGAGGTACATCTATCTTTGAGCTCTCAGCAGCTTTTGGGATCAACCCTGATATCCCTCTGGACCAGCGTTTCTCAACATTTGTGTGACGGCAACCCCCGTCACACAAACGTGTCGCGCATGCATGTGCGGCGCCCCATGTGCAGTGCGCATGCACGGCACCCCCATGCACGGCGGTGCCCCGAGGGGGAAAAATGGCGGATCGCCTTGTTTGGCGACCCCCGTAAAATGGTCGATCGACCCCAAATGGGGTCGCGACCCATAGGTTGAGAACCGCTGCTCTGGACTGACTGCAGGGATTGGGAGTGTAGCAATGTTTGCCTCTTTCCTCAACTGTCATTCCCAATCAGTGTTAATAAAAGGGACAGTGCCCACAGCCCCTTTTGTGTAGCATGAGCCTCTAGTCATGTTTTTCAATTCTTATGGTTGTTTTTTTAGTTCAAGTTTACATCTTTTCCTCATGTTACATCATCAAATATACTGATTTAACAGTATATTTTGATGTTGAAAGCTGCCTAGTCTTTTGACGTGGGAAGCTATATAATCTTAACCTCCTCCTGATTTTTAGAAAAGGGATCATCTTGTTTTAAAAGTAAAGAAATCATCTTGAAAGCAATGCGGGCTCAGTTCCAAATCTTTGCCCTTCCCCACTAAGCCGCTATTTTCCACCTAGATTTAGTTGGTAGGTTTTAAGATTCTTGCTCAATAAAAAAAACTAACCTGTAACATTCAAAATCTACCCACATCTCTCCCTGCTTTAGAGGCCAGGGCCATTAAGCCTGCAAACCTGCAAGAGATTGTCTTTATTTTTGCTCAGTCGGCATTCCACTCTAGGTTCACTTCTTCTCCTCCTGCAGTTTTCCAAGTGATATACCAGGGCTGGTTTTCCAAAAGCCAGAATAAAAACGAGATTTGACTTGTTCATGTATACTTAATGCAATTCCTGAATTTAAGACTTTCTCCACACATAATACAAGCAATTACTATTTGGAAGCCAACTCCAGGATGTTTGGGGGCGTTCTAGAACAGGGTTTTTCAAACCATGTTCCAAGGACTCTATTGTAAGTTGAATACAGCCAGTTTTTCCCAGTCCTGTTTGTTTCTTGATCAGGGAATTTTAAAACAAGTTTCATGGTCAGAAAAACTTTGAGAACCTTGTTCTAGAGCAGGGGTGGTCAAACTGCCGGCCCACGGGCCGGTTGCATCATGTGGAAGCCATGCCCACCCCAGCTCCGGCAATGCAAAAAAAGTCGTGATACATCACGAGACGCAGCGAGTTTGATACCTGTGTTCTAGAGGATGCATAAAGCTGTGGGATTTTAGGTTGTGGAGCCCTATCTTCCCTTGAGTTCTAAGAACTGTGACACCAAGTTCCTCTAGGCCACCTTCCTTCCAGCAAGAATGACGTATGCACCACAAAGAGTTTGGCGGAAGGAAAAATAGTCCAGAAAGCTAACTCGAACCACAAATACAGTTCTTCCAACAACTTTGGGGGGTCCTATGACAAATCTGCAAGATTGTTAATTGCACTTTAAAATTGTTTTAAATGGTTGTCATATTTGCTTTGCTTGGTAATACCCAACCCAGAGCCACATTTACTGAGATCAGCAGCTCTATAAATTAAATAAATAAGCTACTGGTAAGCTAAGAATTCTGTGGCAAAAAGTTGCCATTTCCCAAATTACAACCATTTACTTCAGATACCCAAAGACATACCAAAATTGCCCAAGGTAGCAGTGCAGCCCCTGGCCGAGGTGTAGCAGTCATCGATTCCCGCCATCATCAGCAGCTTCTTTGGAACGGGCGCAGACACAATTCCTGTACCACGTGGGGCAGGAATAAGGCGAACCAGGACAGACCCACACCGGCCTGTCACCTACAAATGCAAGCCAAACAGAGTTTCACATAGTAAAGTAGTTCATGAGGACCCAGGTTGTTGAGGGCAAGATGCTGACTCTGTAAACCACTTAGAGGGGGCTGTTAAAGCACTGTGAAGTGGTATATAAGTCTAAGCACTATTGCTATTCAAAACCAAAAGCGTTACCTTGCATGGCACAGTATGAGGCTTGCCAATCTTGTTTCCCCAATAGCCTCGTCTTACTGGCACAATGGAGAGTTTCGCCAGGATGATGGCCCCACGAATGGCAGTGGCCACTTCTTTAGAGCACTTGACCCCAAGACCAACATGACCATTGTAATCCCCAATGGCAACAAACGCCTAAGGAGAAAAGAGATAACCTGCAGTTCCATAGCAGAAATGCAAACATTCCTTGCCATAAATGCACACAACCATCCTGACAGCCAGCCCAACCTTAACTCTGCAAACATGTGGCCTCTGATACTGAGCACAACTTACTGTAGGTAGTCCTCAAGTTATGACCATTCAGCAACCATCTGAAATTACAGCAGCATGAAAGAATAATGCTTCCACCTGGCCCCCAAATTATGGCCACTGCAATGCCCTTGCAGTCAGGGGATCAGAATTCAGGTATTTGACAATCTACCCACGTTTACAGTCAACTCCCCCCACCTGCCCATCTCCTCCCTCCTCGCTGCCTTTTTGGCCACCTTGCACAATGGCCTGGGCTTTTAGCAGTCTCAGCTAGCCACCGCTGCCCCCAGGCCTCTACGCCAGCCCGGTGGCACCCCAAGCTGTGGCCAGCCACCTCAGCTCCACGGCACAAAACCCCCACCATCCTGCATGTCCTGCCATTCTCCTGACTACTCTCACTGAAAGGAAATTCTGCCTTAATTCTAGGTTGGATCTCCGTTAAGTCTCCATCCATTACTTCTTGTCCTACCCTTGGGTGTTTTGGAGAATAGGTTAACCCCCTCTTCTGCGATAGCCCCTCAAGCACTAGCAGATTACCATGTTACCCCTAGTCCTTCTCTTTGTTGGCAGGGTGGATAATAATCAATGATTTAAAAAAAAATAAAAAAATGGATTTTTAAAGTTTAAATTGGATTTTTTTAAATATTTATCAAATTTATTTTAATAAAATGCTTTTGGAATAAAAATCTATCTAAAGATAGTTTTCTATTTAAGATACATTAATAATTTAGTTTATTCAGCATAAAATGGAGCTCAGTTATGTAGCAGGAAGCTGTATATTCTGCAATATTTACATTTTTGGTAAACTCATTCAATGAATCCAAGCTCTGCAAGCTGAGGTAACACGCAGTGCGTTGACGCATTCGCTCAATTTCACAGTGGCCATGAGATCAATCATAAAACAAAGTTCAGGAAGATTCCTTTATCCCATTGTTTTGCAAATCTACGTACATCACAAACTGTATGATTGTTTGAAGAGAAATGCATCTGTATCAGGTTCTAAGAGTTTTAATTAAATAAAAGAATTTGAGTAGTTCTCCATGTGTGATTAACCTACTAACCTAAAATCGGTTCTGATATCGTTGTTTTACTAACCTGACAGCTTATTATTCTAAACAGGAAACCTTCGTTTCATTTGCAAGTAATAATATTAAAGATTCTAGCTACCAGCAAGAATGAGTCTACCATTTAAAGAGCACCTGTCATTTCAGATCCATCTTGGCAGCACCTGTTAGTGGGCATCCACTCACCTGCTACCCACCATGCCCCTCACTTTGTGGTGTCACTGCCGCATCACCAGCCCCCCTTAAAGTGAGTGGGATTGTCGGTGAGTCAATAGCAGGTCAGAGGAGCCGCTGCGGGAGAGAGATGACAGTTGCTCTTTAAAAATTATGATTTAAATAGAGTTGATTTAAATCAAGCCTTTTTACTATAAGGTTCTTAACCTTTTTGAACAAATCACCCCCTTGAGCCAGTGAGGAAGTTGTCATCACCCCCTCCCCCAACATAACCTCTCAATCACAACATAGGAAATAATTCTTCAATTTATGCAAACGCTTTTTTTGTTTTCTTTAAAATTGTCATCAGGACATATCGATGCAAATAATTTATTTTCAGTCTTTTTCCCATATCGCCCATATTCTGGCTATGGCGCACCACTGTATGGGTAGAGGCTGCTGCACAACTGTACTGATGGAGGAACATTTGAAAACACAATTCAATCCACTAATAGCAAACAATCTGATGTTTTTGTACGACAGATATACAGCGATTCACTGTATGAAAGTCTCAAAAGTGTCCCCAAAACTTTTCGCTCCATCGCCCCCATATCGCCCCCTTTTTGTTCCTTCACCCCCCTGAAAAATGAAATCGCCCCCTGGGGGGCAATATTGCCCAGGTTAAGAACCACTGATTTAAATCCACTTGGTTTAAATCAAATCTACTATATCCACAGCAAGAATGCAATAAGGATCGTCAGGTGTGATGTTTTTGAAATCCTGAAGCATTTTTCTTTTCCAGTCCTCCGGTAGTTCCCCAGTGCTTCAGGATTTTTTTATTAAAAAGTTTTATAAAAATTACAATATTAACCCACCCAAACCCCCCTCCCTCCCCCACTTCCCAGAGCTGAATACAGGGTTACAAATATGATAATCATAATCTAACTAACATTACCAACTATATAAATAACCAAATCCATAATGCACTTTAACTCCCCTTTAACATATAATCAAATTAAAAGTGAACATAATAATGAGAACATAAACAAATTAATATCCTAATTATTAAACAATACAGTCCCCAAATAGTTAAACAATACTAAAAATAATAATTTCATAATAATATTCTAAAATTCACTCGTAGGCTAAATGAAACTTTTTAGTCCCGTATTTATTCTGAATATAATTTATCCATCTTCTCCAGACGAAATGTATCTTTCTTGTGAATGATCCTTCAAATAAGTAGAAATCTTAGCTATTTCTGCTAAATTTGACACTTTAATTGTCCATTCTTCTATAGTAGGCAAGCAATCCTTCTTCCAATATTGACCTACTAATAACCTTGCAGCTGTTATCAAATTCAACATCAAATTAATTTCTTTAACATCACAATCTGTAATGACACCCAATAAAAATAATTGTGGGGTAAACCTTATCTTTCTCTTAAACATCTGTTGAATGTTCCACCAGATCTTAATCCAAAAGGCTTTTATATTTCTACAAGTCCACCATATATGAAAATAAGTGGCTTCCAAATTACCACATCTCCAACATTTGGGCTGTAAATTAGGATACATACAAGACAACTTTTTAGGATCCAGATGCCATCTATAAAACATTTTATAAAAATTTTCTCTTAAATTTTGTGCCTGGAAATTTGGGTTAGAAATTTTACATTTCTAACCCAAATTACCTCCCATGTATCCAATAGAATCGGTTCTTGAATATTTTGAGCCCACTTTACCATGTGCTTCAGGATTTTTAAAAGATACAGTTCAGTGGTTCTAAGATCACGTCCGCTCCTTCAGCTATCAGGAAAAGTTCATTCTTTATATCGAACAAGCTCACTTTCTCAACCTGATGCTCATTAAATGAAACAAATGAATCCCAGATTGGGAGGTCTGCTTTAATAACAAAGTAAACTTACTAAGAAAAAAGGAGGACGGTCTATCTAGAAGTCACATCAGGAATTTCTGCTGCCTACACAGCTACACATCTCAAGGACAGGAAACAAAATGCAACTGGTTACCTTGAACCTGGTGCGCTGGCCTGCCCGCGTTTGCTTCTGCACTGGCATGATTTTCAAAACCTCATCCTTCAGGGAGGAACCCAGGAAGAAGTCAATGATTTCAGACTCCTGAAAAGTCAATATAGGATAAACCACCTCTCTGTACTGCAGGAAATTTCACAACAGCATCAACTCTTCATTGACTTGGTCAACCAGTCAAGCCTGGCTTCTCTGCAGACTCCCAGAACAAGTCAGTACCACTTCCTTTGCAACATTTTTGGCAGTGGTGCCAGCACCTCCTCCCTAGGGCTGAAAGTAACTGGCCAAGTCATCCAGCTTTTTTTTATGCTTAAGGTAGGGCTAGAAATTCACCTGCAGCTTTTAACTGAGTGCCTTTGTGCCAAATGAGCTCTCAAAGGATTTTCTCTAGCTCTTTTTAAAACCCAAAAGTATTAACACCATATAACAATAACTTAAAAGAGAACAAATTCTTTCCAATTTTGTCTGGATTGTCTCACCAATTTTATTGGGTGACTAATACATGGGTGCACAAATATGCTTACCCTCTCCCCATCTCTGCAACTATGTATGTTATTCTCTGAGAAAGTAATGAGTTCTCCATGTTTTTAAGAGTAATACCTTGATTGGAAGAGAGAAAAGGTAGATCTCTTCCAGAGATTTGATCTTCATGTCCTTTACCAGTCGGCCAAGTTTGGTCACAGGCATCCACTGCAAAAATAAAAATGAGCCTATTAAGGAACCCAAACTTTCTTCCGCAATAACATACGTTTCGCATATAAAAAAGCAACCAGTTGGAGCATAGTTACAACTTCAACAAGATAGTGTGCATTTTAACAATCCACCCCCTTCTTTATTTGCAAGTTTTGTTTGTTATGCAGGTGACATCCAATTATACGTTCAACCTGACCCCAGAGAGCCAAGTCCAGTCTGTTCTACAGGAACCAACCAGAACCTTTAATTTCCATCATGTCAAAAATGGAGCAAAAATGTATTAACATAATCAAAGGTTCTCTAAGCATAGCGGCCTCTGCTGAATTCTGTCTGGCTTGAAACAGACGAGTGAGTGATACATCCAGAGAGCTGGCTTGCAGTATTAGATTTGTTGGTTGCCAACTTCAGTTAAGTATTCTCACTTTGATTTATTCAATCCTAATAAAATAAAAACATAATCAGCATTCCTAAAGTCCTTTATTTATTACCAGAGGACGGCATGCCTGAAACTTCATCTAGAAAAACCATTTCCATTTGATTCAATAAAAATTACAGCATACTTTCTCAAGACTTCAAAATAGAATAGAATATCACAACAAAATTAAGTGCTGTCCACAGTGCACACTTAGTAAAAAACACAAATAAGAATATACATACATTCTTTGCATTCTCACCATTGCCCTGCCTCTAATATTACACTTCAATGTTGCACTACTATACGGTAGTATTTAATATGGTTACAGCTCTGGGATAAAAACTATTTTTCAGCCCATTTGTCTTGGTTTTTATTATCCTGTACCATCTGCCAAATGGTAATAGTTCAAAAAAAAAAAAAAAAAAAAAGAATGTCCTGGATGAGAATGTTTTGAGCTTTCCTAAGACAGCAGGAACTATACAGTTCATCCCAGGGGGAGGGCAGCCAATAATCCTAAGGGCGATGGTAATGACCCTCTGGAGTGCTTTCCTATCTGCTATTGTGTAGTTGGCAAACCACACACAAATGCAATAGGTTAGAATGCTCTCTATGTAGCAACAGTAGAAGGTCATCAGCAGTTTTTCACTCAGTTGTTGTTTCCTGAGAAGTCTCAAGAAATATAATCTCTGCTGGATCTCCTTAACCAATGCTGTAACATGAGCGCTCCAAATCAGATTCTCCTTTATGGCAACACCCAGAAACCTAAAGCTGGCCACTCGCTCCACATGGTCTCCGCTGATGATCAGGAGCTGAATGTCTGATCTATTCCTACTATAATCTACTATAAGCTCCTTGGTCTTAACTGTGCTGAGAACCAAATTATTGTCTCTGCACCACAAGAGCAACCACTTCACTTCATCCTGGTAGGCAGACTCATCCCCCTTGGAGATAAGCCCCACCACTGTTGTGTAATCTGCAAATTTAACAATAATATTGCTGGGATGAGTGGGGGTGCAGTCATAAGTGTAGAACAGGGGTCTTGGCCCCTTTATGACTTGTGGACTTCAACTCCCAGAATTCCTCAGATAAGTGTGCCTGGCTGAGGAATTCTGGGAATTGAAGTCCACAAGTCATAAAAGGGCCAAGTTTGAAGACCCCTGGTGTAAAGTAGGGGGCTCAACACACAGCCCTGTGGGGAGCTTGTATTAAGAAAAAGGGGTGAAGAAATCTAGTTGCCTAATCTAACCCTCTGAGTGGCCAGACAAAAAGTTCATAATCCAAAGGCAAATTGAATGTGAAAGACCAAGGTTGACAAGTTTAGGCACCAGTGTGGATGGAAGAATTGTGCTGAATGCAGAGCTAAAATCCACAAAGAACATCCTTACCTAGGTCCCCTGCTGCTCCAGATGAGCCAGAGCAGTATGGAGAGGATGGCCTCCTCTGTGGATCTCTTTGCTCTGTATGCAAACTGGTGATTGTCAAATGTGTGTGGGAGGCAGGACACGGATGTGCCTGCAGACCAGTTTTTCAAAATACTTAAAGATAATAGGGGCGAGTGCCGCTGGTCTGTAATCACTGAGACTGCTAATAAAGGAATTCTTTGGTAATGGAACAATGATGGAGGCCTTCAGAATAGTGGACTGGGATAGAGACCGATTAAAAATCTCGGTAAAGATCCCCGGTCTGCGCAATCTTTAAGCACCCAGCCAGAAATGCTGTCAGGTCCAGCAGCCTTCCTTCAGATCACACCTCTCAAGGAACTCCTCACCTCATGCTCCTCCATGGTGAGGGGAGGGCTGTGGCGGACTAGTGGCTGTGGCACAGCTGCCTCTGATGGCTTCACTTCGAAACAGGCAAAGAAATGATTCTGCTCCTCTGCCAATGAAGCATCCCTGTCAACAGGAACGATGTTATTGGGTCTATGGTTGGTAGTCTGTTGGATCCCTGCCACACCTGCCTGCATCAGTTATGAAAATGGTCTTTAATCTTCTTCTTATAATCTGCCTTGGCCTGCCAATTGCCTCTCTTCAGACTGGCTCTGGCAGCACTATATTTTGCCCCATCACCAGATCTAAAGGCATTGTTTCTTTCATACAGGAGACGCTGGATTTCCTTATTCATCCAAGACTTGTGGTTGGGCTAAAAAAGACTAACACGGGGTAATTCTACTCACTTCTTTGTCTTCAGCTTTGCCTCGAGCTCCGCGACCACGGCCCCGACCACGGCCCCGACCTCTTCCACGGCCCCGGCCTCCACTGCCAAAGCCTCCTCGGAAGCCTCCCCTGGCAGCTGCTCCTCCTGCTCCTGCCCCTCCCGCAGCACCGGCGTCATCCGCCATTTGCTGGGGGGAAAAAGTTACATTTGCAACTGTAAAGTGTTGAATTATTTCAGGACACCTGCTGCACAACACAAAAATGGCCAAGCAAAATCACAGGACTGAAACAAAATCAATTTTCAGCCTGTACAGAGCTGTGTTTAAAATCAAACTTCTATCTGGAACTGACCCTAAAACAAGCGAAGAATAAATTCCTCTACCCCAAGCCATACTCCTAGAAACAGGCTCCAAGACCAGCAAAAAGAGGAAATTGGACTCAGTCGCTCCCTCCTCTCTTTTGCAAGTGCTGTGTATCAAAGCCATCGTGCCTCCTCCTTCCATTCTCTGCATGTCAGATTACAGATGTTTGAACTGGTTTACATGATTCAGATGGTTTCTGTATTTGGACTGAAAACACACACTTCAGGTGTTTGGGGCTACGTGATCAATGAAATGAGCCCACTTTATTCTGTGCAGAAATGGCGGGAGAAGGTAGACAGGAAAAAGCCAGGGAAGGGAGGGGGTAATACCCAATGGGAGCAAGGAAGCTTTGAGGGAGGAGGCCAGGCAGGAAGCGGGAACATTGGCCAACCTTGCTCCGCTCACCTCTTCCAACTTTCAGTTCTGCAAACCGGGCCCCAAATGGTCCAGCAGAACCCTTAGGACGGGGGCAGGCAACCTCGGCTCTTTTGTGAGTTCTGGGAGTTGAAGTCCACGCGTCATCAAAGAGCCGAGGGTGCCTACCCCCGCCTTAGGACCAGAGGTTGCACTGCAGGAGGGGAGGCCCCCCCGACGCCAAGCGAGCTCCAAGCCACCCGATTAGCTGCGGGGTTCCACTCGAAGCAACGGGGCCGATCGCATCGCCACCGCGGTCTCCACGGTTCTTGCGAGCAAAAGGCCTCCTCGGTTCCGAAACGCCGGACCCGTTTAACGTACCTCGTGCCCGAGAAGCGTCCTCCGTCCTTCTGGGGCTCAGGCCTCAATCCTCTGCCTCCTTAAGAACCCCACCCGAAATCCCCCCCCTCCGCCGGTCAAGCGCCCAGCTGCTTAATTGCCGGATTCATCCTCATCCAAAGCGGGACCCCTCCCCAAAGCGCCCCTTCGAAGGACGGCGAGCCGTCCTGGCTGCTCTTCCCATAACTGGACCCAGCGCCGGGCCTCCCCGAGAGCGATGGCGGCGGATATCGCCGCCAAGAGATCCAACCGGTACTTACGTGCAATAGAATAGAAGGCCAGACACGCGCAGGGAGGGGTATTTAATGTCAGCTCCTCTCGCGAGTTCCGTTACCTCTCAAAGCGCGTGCGCGAGGTCCTATCTCCCTACCTCTTAAGCCAATTGCGCAGGCGCGGAGGCTCGCTCCGTGCCGCGCTCTTGGCCGGATCGAGCATGAATTAAAACGCCCGGGATCGAGCATGGATTACAAGGGCAAGGCTATAAAAGGCAGCGCCGGCGCGCGGCCTTCGCGTGCGCTTTCGGGGAAGGTGAGAGGTGTGCGGCTGGGCTTGTCGGTGGTTTTAGGCTGGGCTTGTGGCGGGTGGCGTTGTCTTTTCTCTTACTATTTGTGGAAATGTGGGGTTTCAACTGCCGTCGGTCGCCCTAGCCCCGAGGAAGCCCAAATAATGCACAGTGAGACTTTATTCGAGTGGTGCGTTGTATGTCTCGGAGCACTTTGGTCCTGTTGCGAATGAATTGCTTAAAGCCTGTGTTTGCTGCCGCTTTAAACCCAGGAGTGCTAGAATTCACGTCAACGTTCAGACGTAGCTTGTGTTTATAATCTTTTGGTGTCGCTGGATTCGTCTGTTCCACGTGGCGACTAACTGTGGCGCTGATGTTTCTCCCGAATGGCTTATTCTGCACATTGCTTTCGGTTTTTTTCTTTTTTAAAAAAGCTATTCTGAAATGCTGTCCGTCTAAAAATAAGGGGTATGATGTTAACACTTTTGCAAATGATATAGGTGGGAAGTACAGTTGAAATTACCTTTAGCATTATAGACTGTTGTCCTTCACCTATAAAAAAGAGAAAGCTGCATTTTTTGGGGTACTTTGAAAAAGAACCCTTCATTTCAATTTTATGTAACAGGTTCCTGAAATAGAGTGGATAGCAAGCCTACCATATCGAGAACTGGTTGCTATGGCTAGAGCTGATGGATGTTGTTGTGTTGGGTACCAGGAGGGTTGAATGAACAGTTATGCCTCCAGAATCACCAACTGCTGCCAGTCCTGCATTAGAAGCCCCCATATGTTCTTTAGCATCTGTTCTTTCACCTCTGCTGGTGGTATGTTGCTGTGAGAAAAGGTTGTGTTGCTGTTGTTTGTGAAATGGAAGCCTTCACTGAATATTCATCAGTACGCTTTAAACAACGTGCCGTGATAGAATTTTTGACTGCTGAAGGAGTTCCTCCAATTGAAATTCACCGCCAAATGCTTGCTGTTTATGGTGAGGATTGCGTGGATGTGAGTACTGTGCGTCGCTGGGCCAAAAAATGTAAAGATGGTAAACCGGGAAGAACTGATTTGTGTGATCAAGAACGCAGCGGAAGACCAGTGACAGCCACTGATCAGTTCCATGTGGGAAAAGTTGATGAACTGATTAGGGACAATCGGCAGATCACTCAAAGAGAAATTGCTGCCAAGCTTGGCATTTCACAGGAACGTGTGGGACACATTATTGATATTCTTCAGTATCGGAAGGTTTGTGCAAGATGGGTTCCTCGCACGCTGACGCCAGAGATGTATGCAACATATACAGATGGCAAGTGCAATTAAAATTGCCTTTTGAATTTATGGACTATATTATCCTTCATTCCTATAAACGAATTGTAACTTTAAAGGGAACGCTTTTAAAATTATGTAACAAACAGATCTATGGAATACAGTGTAGGTGGCAAGTCTACATCCTGTTCAATAGGTGTGGTTGCATTACCATGATTGGTACTAACAACATTCCAAGCCGTGGTTCCACCACTTTGCTGGCTATTGGCTAGCAGGTGCTGGACATCATAGGATATTTTCTGCTTATATACAAGTTTCTAATGTATGGTTTTCTCTATATCTTGGTTTGTTCAAGAGATAACCTTTGACTTGAAGTTCTCCCAAGGCTGATTTTGGTAGTTTGTTAGAAACTTTTCAGCTGCTGATAGAAACTGCTTTCCATTGTAATACTATGACTAGGGCACAGTCTGAAAATAATCCTTGGCTTCCTTTGTGGCCTTGGATGAGGTAACTGTGCCCATAGCAAAAAGGAGCATTAAGCTTATTGCCTTAACCGCAGTCTTTGAGCAATAAAACCCAGGCTCCTATATCTTGTGAAAATACAACATGGTTGTAATAAATGCTAATAGCTATTTTTCCCAACAGATGCTACAGAGGAAGATACGCTTTGAAGACTAATATGCTGCAGGATCTTAACTTTGCACATACCCCTGAGAGGAGTTCCCCACAGCTATTAGAAGAGACATTTAGATGTCACAAGCCGTTGTGTATATTGATTGGTTGGCAAAGGAATATATATGCTTACAAAAAAATTTGAATTATAAAATAAATATTTTTGAGATGCATACATGTCTTGTTTGTGAATTATTTTCCTAGTTCCTGAGTTTATGTGATACCCCAATTTATGTATACCAAGCAGCTGCCATATCCCCATTTGCCATAAAAGTTAAGAACATCAATAACCCCTAACTCTGATGCAAAGCTCCCATTTCCATTAATTTTCAATTACAAGAATGGGTAGGCCAGAACATTTCTGCCTTTTGAGTTTGGGTGGGGACTGATGTGACCTCATGGAAGACGTCAGCAAAAGATATACACAGTTCTCCCCTAATTAACGTGTACTCGCTAATGATTTGAAGGATATCTTGGTGACTAGATCAGGGGTGCCAAACTCAATTTCATTGAGGGCCGCATCAGCATTGCGGTTGCCCTGGGGGTGTGGCCAGAGTGGGTGTGGCTTATAGGTGGGTGTGGCCTGCTGGGTGGGCATAACCAGCTCTACATCATTCGCATCGAGGGGGCCTGTGGGGGGCCTGGGCAGGAGTGGGACAGATCTGAGGGTCTCTGGCAGAAGGGAGTGGGACAAGGGCAAGTGCCAAGGCATGGTCCACTTGAGGAGCCTCACTGTTCCTCCCAGGCCATGCGGGGGGGGGGGGGGGGGCGGGGGGGGGGGGGGGGGCTGGATGGTGGTGCATGCTGCCGGGAGCCTGGACAGCAGAGGCCAAATGCCCAGCCTGGCCCTCGAGCACCCGCGGCACCAAGCCCAGCCCCACTTCCCCAAGGGGGCGCCCTTACCTCCTCAAGGCTGCTGCTGCTGTGCTTGCTCTCCTTACCCAGGTTGCTCATGATGGGTACGAGGGCAAAGTCAGAGGGAGGCCCATTCCCTCTGCATGGGAATAGACCAGGCTTTGTATCCAAAGCTTCCTTAGCAATAGGATGGGAGACCCCCAGGATAGGCCAGGAGGAGGGAGCGAGGGGATGGTGAGAGGGCAGCAGGGCAGGACTAAGGCAGGACTTCCCTTGGAGCCTCCCTCTCCTTTTTTTCCTTCCTAAGTACAGAGTGGTGGGAAAAAAACTGAGATGAGGGAGGGAGAAAAACAGGCAAGAAACGCAGCTGGGGAGGTGTCACCCTTTGTGAGGAATGAAGAAATGCACCATCGCCTGGAAGTGGCCAGCACATGGCCCTTACCTACTTCACATATCTGGCTTGGTGGGCTTTGGGGAAGGAGATGCCACGAGCAGCATGAGAGTCAACGTTACCTGCGTAATGCCGCCCAGCCCCCAGCCTGCCCAGTTTCGGCAGGCAATGGGGTGCTCTCCTCACAGCGCCCAGAGGTTGAGCCGGGTGGTGCGAAGCTCGCCAGCTTTGCACCTTGCTGCCTGCTGAAACTGGGCAGGCTGGGGGCTAGGCAGCATTGCACTTCTCATCAGATTCACACCACCCAGCTCAGCTCTTGGCGCTGTGAGGAGAGCGCCCCGCTGCCTGCTGAAACTGGGCAGGCTGGGAGCTGGGCAGCCTCGCATTTCTTTTTGGATTTGCGCCACCCAGCTCAGCCTCTCGGCGCTGTGAGGAGAGCACCCCGCTGCCTGCCGAAACCCCTCCCCCAGAGCCCATCAAGCCGGATATGTGAAGTAGGCGAGGGCCATTTGCTGGCCACGTCCAGGCGATGGTGCATTTCTTCATTCCTCACAAAGGGTGGCATCTCCCCAGCATGCACCCAGGGGGTGGGGCGGACACGGCAGGGGTTGGTTCCTCACTGTTTCCAGATGGCCTTGTGGCGCTAAGACTGCGTTTCAGCATAAATGGCCACCACAAAATTGTACATTCGCTCCCGACTGGCCTGGGCCAGGGTCAAGGCAGCGGGGGCCGTTCCCTCACTGATTCCAGGATGGCTTTGCAGGCCACATGAAACCACTTCGCAGGCCGCATTCAGCCCCCGGGCCTTGTGTTTGACATGTCTGAGCTAGATGTATCGGAAGCATACATCCGCTCTATTGGTGAAGTTTACAAAGTTTATCAGGATATTCCTGTTTAGCCTTTGGATGGGAGACCACCCAGAAACTCTGTGATCGAAGACCAGTCTGACAAGCCATTGAGAATATTGTAGTTCAGGGTTGAACTGGTTGTTTCCTTGCAGAGATTTTATTACCCAGCAAAGCAACATTAGTGCTGGAAGGGATCCAGCAGTGAACAATACCCCAATCCAAGAACTACCAACCCAGTCAAAGAATCACCAAGAGCATTCCCATCAACACTGGCAAAGCAAGCCAATGGTATATAAAATGAGAACAAACTACTCCTTTCTGGCACTGATGGTGTTACCTGCGTGGGTAATGACGCGTCTGCAGGAAAACAAGGGACCCCACAAGTGAAACCCTGGAAGAAGCCACAACAAATCATACTATCTATCTGCATGAAAAGATGTACGGAAGAGTTATGGGCCTGCCAGGAACTGGTCCTCTGAGCGAAACGGTACCCAGTCTCCCGCTCCCAGTCGCCCTCCGCCTCCCGGGGCCGTTGAGGAAGTTGCACTCCTCGTCGCTTCTTGTGTCGTCTCTACCAAGGGCGACTGGCGAGTGGGACCAGGAAGCTGCCCCTTCGAGCGCCCGTTCGCTCCTCTTCAAGTTTTCATTCGTCCATGCTTGCTTGCGCCACGGCGACGCGCCGGAAGTAAACGCACTTTTTCCGGAAGCACGTGTAGGTCGTCCGGGTGTCCCAGGCGAGGGGACTGGAACCGAGCCGGGGCTGGAGGATGGCGGTCTCGAGCTCTTCGGCGAACCTGAAAAGCAAGTGAGGAAAGGGAGGCGCCGCGGGGGGGGGGGAGGGGGAGGCCACGGGAGCCGCGACTGCTGTCGATGGAGTGGGGAGGAAAGTGTGCGCCGTCGCCATAGCGACCGCGTTGCAGTTTGGTGGCCGTTGGCTGGCTGGCTGCGCGCGCTCGGCGTCGGCGCACGTTGTACTTAGTTGAACCGTGTTTCTGAGCATACGCAGAGTGTTTTTCTCGCCAGAACTGTCTTGCGAGAGAACCATCGAGAAGGGAAAGGTGTTCCCTGCTCCGGCAGAGCCCTTACCTTTGGGTTCGGGCTTCAGAAGGGAGTAGGGAGCCCAGATCGACTGGTGGCGGCCCCGGGCCCAGCTCAGAAAGCGAGGCAGAACTCGGGTTGCTTAGTGCTTGGATGGGAGACCTCCGGGCGATCCCAGGACTGTAGAGCGTAGGAAGAGAAAGCGAAGCCTCCTAAAGAAGTGAGGGGCCGATCGCTCTGTAACGTGGCCATGAAGGCCTCAGGAATCGCCCTGAGTCGGGGGCCTTCACTTGGAGCTCGGACCAGTTGGCCAAACGATATTGGAAACGTCGTGCTGGCCCGCCCTCTTTGAAGGCTCCCTCCTTCCCGGCCGGCTAAAGGAGGAATCCTGGTCGCCGCAGCACTTAGGTCTTGGACCCTTTGTGTAGCCCACGGAACTACAGATGAGCGAATCCTAGTTGAAGGATGAGAACCGTCATATAAACACCCACAAACACAGCTGAAATGTGGCATCTGCTGTGACCAACCAGCTACCATTAAAAAAAAACAACCCACCGGACATGAAATCTGCTTCCAGTGATGGAAATAGTATTTAGCCATTTATTTATTCATTTGATTTAATGATTATTTTTGGTTGCTGGTTGCTGAGAGAGTTCAGAATAACAGAGTTGGGACGGACCTTGGAGGTCTTCTAGTAGTCCAGCCTCCTGCACGAGCGAGAGATGCTGTACCCTTCCAGACAAATGGCTGTCCAGTGTATTCTTCAAAGTCTCCAGTGAGGGTTCAGTTGAGTCTGGTGTGTCGAGGAAAATAAATAACTTTACACCCACTTTTCTTCCTCCTCCCCCAATCTTGTGAAGCTGTTTAAGCTGAGGGAGTTGTGACTGGCCTGAGGTGGCAAATCTGAGTTTCCATCTCTTAAAGGGGACTTGAATCTTGGAAAATTGAAAAGGAAGCTAGGAAAAATCCCCTTCCTTTTTCTTACTATGTTGAATCGCATACTATTTATCCTCATTGGATCAACTCACATTCAGCACTTTGCACAGATTTATGTAGCTCTGTATGTCCCATTACAAGCTCCACTGTAATCTTTCCACTTCGTAACATAAGACTATAAGCAGGGCCTTACTGGGTCAAACCTCATTGAGTCGAACAATCTGCTTTCACAGTTGTCTTTCAATTGCCCAAGAAGCCCAGTACTTCCTCTCTTAGCTGCAGATAGGTTCAAAGAGCCATTGATCCCGTGACTTCTAAGAATTAGGCCACCACCATTATTGAATTCCTATTGGTAAACCTGGCTGTCTTTTTCTACTTTTAAATCTTATTTAGGTGCAGTGTCCAGAACAGCATAGTATTTTAGAAGGGATCTCACTATATTGGTATAAAAGAGCATTTCTATATTGGTAATTGTTGGATCATTACTCAACTAGATAACACCATTACTAGGAGGGAAGGGGGTTTGCTCTGCTTCTATACAATAGCTTGCTCTTTCAGTGTTGGTGGGATTCTTTTCTTCTTGGTAGTTCCTTGATTAGGCTATTTACTGCTCCATTGTTCGTCTGGTGTTACACGGTAGTTAAAACCTGCTTCTCTGGGTGTGTAAGGACCCACCCCACTTTGCATCTTAAGAAGACAGAACTCTTGGAATAATTCTTCCAACAGGCATCCTTTATTAAGAGAAAATGGTTGCAGGCGTTCTAGACAGGACTTGGGGTCCAAGCTCTCCCATTCAAGGTTTTAAGGGGTTTCCCAGTAGCCCCACCCAATCCCCCCTACTTCCAGCGACAGTCTCAGGCATTACATTCCCACCCCTTTTTTCCTTACTGCCGGCTGGATGGAGACTTTAGAGAAAACTACATGAAAGGTAATAGCCCCCTTTGTTATAATTAGGCCTTTTGGTGCCATCCACATTCAGTCTCTTTGAAGTATACTGAAGGAAGTGAGATCCGTAAAGCCCCTTTGTTCACCCCCTTCCCTTCATCGTATGACAGAATCCAGGGAAGGCAGAAGTGGGGTTTTCTTTAGTTGATAACTAGAGATG